CTAACAATGCACAAAGCTTTGTTGATAGGTCCTAGAAGCAAAATGCTGACGCATACCCCGACATTGCTGAGTACGGATTCTGCGTTGACATCGGGGGCGTGGTGAATGCCTTGCATTCCTTAGCTATTGTCGCCCGTTGGCCTAGGAAGAGCGACAAGCCAGATGAAAGCAAAGACAAATCCAAGTGGTGCGACTACCATAGCGATCGTGGCCATCATACTGAAGATTGCAATGCCTTGAGGAGAAAAATAGCCTTCATCTTGAAGAAAGGTCATCTAAAGGAGCTGGTGGGAAAAGGCCAAGTAACAAAGAGACGTCGCCTCAATAGCCTCCTAAAGCCCCGGCGATCACTAAGGTAGTCAATGTTATCTCTGATGGATCTGATATTTGTGGACTAACGTACTCTGCAGCAAAGAAAATAGCAAGAACATGTACCCCCGAGGAAGCTGTTCCAAAAGACGCAAGATCAAACCAAGATAAAGCTTTAGGAGCGACGGTAATCTCCTTCGATGACTGCGACTTGGGAGACTATTGAGAAGAGCATCATGATTCACTAGTGATATCCCTTACCATTGGTGTAATACCCCAAATTTTTTAGTATATTTAGTCAATGTTTTTTTTTTTTCAAAAATAAACTTTTAAATTAATTATTATTTTCTATTTTCGGATTAAAAAAAAAAAACCTAATTTTGGATAATTTCCAGAAACTGATTTTGAACACTGAAAAAAAAAAAAAGAACAGAAACTGATTTCCTAGAATTGGTTTTATCGGATTGAAATCAAGAACAAACTTTATTAGAAAATCAATTCTTATCTTGTAGACCTTCTGGATAAATCCTCCTTCACAACAATAAATTTATAAATTCCCAATCCCACCCAAATTGCCGTGAGGAACACTAGCTTCACGAAGCTTTCTTTTTTTCCTCAAACATATTCTTCTTTAATTTGTATCATCTGCTACAATACCAACCATAATTGATTGAGTATAGTGGTAAGCCATGTTTCTTCTTCACTTTCATCCTTCTTGACAATAATTGTCAGCCAACCCACTATGAACTACGTACATTTTTATATGGCTTCTTCCGATTCATAGTTAAGGAGTATGATTTAAAAAAAAATATTAAAAGGTTTTTGTTGTTTTTCCGTAACTGTAAGACAATTCTTACAATTACAGCATATAGTAGGCGAGCAAAACAATGGTGGGAAAGATGAGTTAATTACTTTATCAAGTTCTTAGAGTTTGGCAGACTTTTTTTAAAAAAACAATTTACTTTCTCCTTTCTTACGTAATGAATGAAGCATTGGTTTATTACTATAACGGACATTAACAAGTGTTAATTAGTGGTCTAACTATTTCGATTAGTGTACTAAGACTAACTTAGACCCTTTTATTTGTAGACGGAGGAGGCTATTAGGTGAACGTTTCAGAGGTTAATTAGCACGATCAAAGTAATTTTCAATGTCCATCATCTTTAAAATCCTGTTAGGAAATTGTTTTGAAATATTGTGTGCCAACTATGTGCTTATGTAATTATATGTGATGAGTGTGTTACTGTATGATATTATGGAATCATATTATATACTAGTTTTCTATATTTGTGTACTAGTATAAGTATTTTTGAAAATTTGATTAATTGGTATCGTATGAGTTTTTTTTAAAATAATTAAAATCTTGGGAATTGGGTGATTGATTGTATGTAATTGATGGTCTCCAAGGCCTATTGGAAAACAAGTTGTAACTAGTGTGTCATGTAGAATGACTATGTTCTAATAATATTGAAATTGAAATATTGTTACTTGGGATTAAATTGATTAGTGCAATACTTATGTGCAATGTGATCGGGCAATTTAATCTATTAAAATGAACATTAAATATAAGAAGGGAAATGAAACCCGAAAGGGGTGAAGAACAGGTTTCCCACTTGTAGTTATGGTGGCTACTAGTTGGTTTAAATTACTAATCACTGGGTATTAGTGAGGGGTGTGCACACTAGGGACATTCTATTTAAATTAATGGCCATTTGGGGTTATGTGCGACCCTCTATAAAGTAGGTGGTGACAGGGACTAGTCTCGCCTTACTGACGTTCTCTTTCCCTTTCTTAATAATAAGTAATAAAAGTGTTATGTGACAATTTGATATTGGTTTAGTATTATAATGCCTATGTAGCTGTATTATGTATAAAATGTTTTTCGAACTAAAATTATTTATCTTACGGGATGGAGTTGGAATTACTCATTTTATCTGATTTTGGGAGTTTTCTCTCTTTTCTTGTTTCTAATTTATTTTGCAGGTTGGTAAGAGGGTACTCGGTTACGTGTAGGGAGACGTTAGAATAATCACCTAACTAAGACAATTTAGTTTACTTCTGAACTTATTTATTTTCCTTTTAATTATTGTTTTTAAAATAATTTGCAGTTTTTATTTAATGACTATTTTATTTTGCCACCGCTTAGACCACTTAGTTATTAAATTGTATTTCGTTTTGCTTGCATTTATTTTCTACGGAAAATAAGTGTAGCAGTAACACTCCTAGGGTTCGATGGTCGGGTTTGAAAGTTAAAAAGGTTACTCTTATTATTTTTAAAAGACTCGAATTTTGGGGGTGTTACAAATTGGTATGTAGAGCCAAGGTTTTTCAAATTTAGGGACTAAAATGAATTAAATTAAAGGCTTAGGTTTAAAACTTGTATAAAATTTTGTAAATTGATTTAAGTTTAGGAAAACCGTGAGTGTGATAAGGGATCTATGTGTTTTATATTACTTTTATCATGTACTTAAGATGTGGTTATTTATTTTCTTTTATTAGACGATGGTACGAGAGCGTAAAACTGCAAGAAAGGCGGGTTCTAGGAAGAATACAAATGTATTACCTGATTCTCCCTATAGGATTCGTATGAAGTACAACAAAGACATTCGACGTTATGTCTACCATTTGAATCTTTGCATTGAACATTTTCATTACAATGTGCTTGAGGGCGAATCTGACTACCTTACTCCAGAGAGACGATCTCAAATTCTTTTACGCAAGCTACTTGACAGGGGACCTTTTGCTCAACTTAAGAAGAAGTATGTTAATTTATACATTGAGGGTGAACCAAATGTTAAATACTATTATAATGGAAGATGGATCCCTACTGTGGAATACCTTGAGAAGGCGATGATGGAAGCCAAGCGAGAATTTAACTATAACTTGGATGATGACAACGAGGAGGAGCCCCATGACAGTGAAGCTCGTGAAAGTGAAGGGGAAAATGATGGTTGAAAATTCAAGCTGCGTTTAGATTACTTAGTTAGAGCCTTTATATTATGTTTATTAAAAATAAAAGTCAGTTCCTTATTATTGGAAACTGTAGTACTATTTAATTAGTAGTTTTTATAGTATTGAAATTATTTGGGGTCCAAATAACTATATTTGGGCCTAGTCCATAAATGAAAATAAATAAAGCCCAAATGGAAAGGTCCAACCCTCCGGCCCATATGTCAGGTCAGTCAACGAAGCCTAGTCAAATGATCAGTCCATTTGACTCCACAAGCCCACTTCATTCATTTGGACAAAGGTATAAAAGCTCAATTATCTCATTCATTATATTCATTCACTCATATTGCCTCAAGAAACAAACACTCTTGCACAACTATTCTCTCGTCTTTTTACACTCATTCTGACTTCGGCATCGGAGGGGCCTTCCTCAGCACAACCCCCGAGGCCAGCTTACGTTTGTTCAGCTGTGCAGGAAATCCTCAATTCGGTCATCACTCGAATTGGGCTTCATCTCCACTTATCTGAAGGACTTGCCGAAGGTCCCATTGTTTTTACCGAAACAATTTGGCGTTGTTTGTGGGGATTCTTACAAAAAGTCAGCCAAAAATCTCATACCAATCTTAGCCAACGCAAAAAATTGACTAAGAGTGGAAAAAACATCAAAAAAGCGAGAAAGATGGGCATAATCATGGTGAGGACCGATAGGACACCCTCACCGTCGCCTGAACCATCCATCTCCAACTCTCTGAGGGGAGAGAATCTGCGCAAGGGACCTTCCTCCCGACGGGTTCACCAAGCTGGGAACTCGCCCATGAGGATAGCCCTCCGCAGAGCATGCATTCACTTTCCCATCCGAATTCAACTCCTCCCACCGTTCCTTCAACTGAAGAGGTGGCGAGGGCAGTGGCTGTCTGCATGGAGTTCATGAAAGCCCTGGGTGGACGCCTCCCATCCGTGCACAATGCTCCTCCTTCACCCCTGTCGAAGCCGGAAGAGGAAACTGGCCTCGGGAGGGGAAGGACGAATTCCACCCTCCAAGGGAGAAGGAAGCGGAGGAGCCGAAAGCCTGGACGGGACAGGACGGGAACGACAAGGGGACTCCGGTCACTTTGAAAATTCCCATGTCCGGAACTCAAAGGACTTCCCAAGCAGCCACAAAGCTTCTCGCCGAAGCGTTTATGAGCACCTTGGGGAAAGGAAGAAGGACATTCACAACCGTCTCACTTATCCTGAAGGCTCCCGCCCAAAACTGTCATGCGGAGGGACACCCCTTACTTCCACCTCTCTAAGAGGGAGAAGTGAGGTTCCTTTAGAAAGAGTGAAGGGAAAGGCCGTGATGGTTCCTACCAGTTCACCTTTCCAGAGGTGGATATTGGAGGAACACGTGCCGACGGTCAAAATTCTGGCACACATCACTTACGATGGTACTTCGAATCCAAAGGACCACATAGCCTCTTACGTGGGGCATATGTCAGTCATGGATTACCAAAGGGCTGAAGGAATGCTCTATAACGGGTTGGAATGATCTCTCCAACAAGTTTAAGAGCAAGTTTTCTATGGCTAACCGCCGAGAGAAAAATACTGCAGAGCTTATGAGCCTGCAGAAGGCGGAAGACGAAAGTCTCCGAGATTACTTGACTCGCTTCAGCAACGAGTTGTCCAGAATCACAAGTCTAGGCCAAATTCTAGCCGTATTCGCACTACGGAATGGCTTATAAGCTGGAAAGTTTCTGGATTTCATGGTCATGCATCCTCCACAGACCTTGGAAGAAGCCCTCGATGCTTCGGATAAATTCCTCCGAGCCGAGGAATGGAACAAGGAAAAGTCGCAGTCTCAATCAGGGGCTGTGAAGCCAAAAGGCCAACCAGCCGAAGTTCCAGGGTCGAGGAAAGGGAAGGCGAAGGCCTCAGAACCTCCCTCGACTGCCGAGCCAAAGAAGGATAAGGCTCCCTACACAGGGAAGTTCGAATCTTTCACCCCTCTCACCTTACCACATACTAAGATCTTTAATGCGACGAGGGAGGAGGGAAGATTTAAAAAACCGAAGCCACCTCCTTCTTGGCACCAGAAGAAAGGGAAGGATCATTGGTGCGAGTTTTATGAATCTCGTGGACACCACACCGAAGATTGCCTTCGGCTGAAGGACCAGATCGAAGAGCTGGTCCAAAACGGGTACTTAAAAAAGTACGTCGTTGAGCGCCGCGAAGAAAAGAAAGCTGAGAGAGATTCTCAACAAGATTTGGATTACCTGCGAAAAAGGGATAAACTGCATGAGGGAGGAAACCATGATATCCTCATTATTTTTGGAGGGATTTCTCAGAATGCGCTGAAACGCCACCTGAGAGGGCTGACCCATCAGATACATCACGCTGAATTCCGAAGGCCACAGTCTCCGGTGCTGAACATGATGTTCACAGTCGAAGATTGCAGGGGGGTGGTGTACCCCTATGATAATCCATTGGTAATCATGACGGGCATCGCAAACCACAACGTCTACCGAACACTGGTAGACGGTGGCAGCGGGGCGAATATACTTTTCCGAAAGGCATTCAACCAGCTGAAGTTGGAGAGCAGACACCTAACTCTAGTTCCCTACCCGGTAACTGGGTTTAATGGCTCTTCTTCATATCCAGATCGGAAAATTCTTCTTCCCATTAGCCTCGGCCAAGACTGAGCGAAGCGGAGCATCATGGCCGAATTCTTGGTCATTGATGCCCCATTAGTATACAACGTCATTATGGGGAGACCCCTCATCCATGACGTTCAAGGAATTGTCTTGACGTACCATCAAGCGATGATTTACGTTTCAGACGAAGGGCGCTCCGAAAAAATCTTGGGCAGCCAAAAGGAGGTCCGAGAATGCAATTTCCTCAAACCATCCAAAAGTCGCCGCAACGACAAGGATGATGAGGAAGAAAAAGAAAAAGAGCGAGGTACTAAAAGGCTTAAAGGCCTAAGTGCTTCGGCTCAGGGGTCCCCATCTAAAAGAACATCTTTGGGGACCGGAAAGGCTAGTTCTTCGGCTGGGTCGAAAGACTCAGAAGAAGAACAGCCGAAGTCAGGAAGGTCTGCTGATAATGACAGTAGACCCGAATCTGAAGAATCTGGCTTCAAATCTATGGAGCTAAATGAGCAAACTGAACAATACCGTTGACCGAAGGAGATGCCGAAAAATGCGTCAACATCGGGCAAGGGCTCGATCCGAGCTTCCGGATCGAGCTAATCCAGCTCCTTCGGGACAACCGAGATGTGTTCGCATTCTCAGCAACTGACATGCCTCGGATTGATTCGAACCTCATCTCTCACAAACTTAATGTCGACCCCATATGTCGGCTTGTAAAGCAAAAGAAGCGAAATTATTCCGCTTAAAAGAACCAGGACATCGCAGCCGAAGTAAAAAAACCTCTTGATGTGGGGTTCATTTAACCTTGCCAATATCCGGAATGGCTGGCTAATGTGGTGATGGTTTAGAAGGCAAATGGCACCTGGAGAATGTGCGTTGACTTCACGGACCTAAATAGGGCATGTCCGAATGACTTCTATCCGTTGCCGAGAATTAATCAGCTAGTCGACTCGACGAGTGGCCATGCTCTGCTTAGTTTCATGGACGCATTTTTTGGGTACCTTAGATCTTCATGCACACCGATGACAGAGTAAAAACGACATTCGTTACAAGTGCCGGGGTGTATAACTACAAGATGATGCCCTTCGGCTTGAAAAACGCCAGAGCGACATATCAGAGGTTGGGGGACCAAGTGTTCGCCGAGCAAAAAGGCCGCAACATGGAAGTTTATGTCGATGACTCCATCGTCAAAAGCTAAAAGGCTGAAGATCATGTTGTAGACCTAGCCGAAACGTTTGCCACTCTAAGAAAACATCAAATGAAGCTGAATCCAAAGAAGTGTGTCTTCGGTGTGAAGTTAAGAAAATTCCTCGGTTTCATGGTCAACAAAAGGGGGATTGATGCCAATCCCGCCAAGGTTCAAGCAGCTCTTAACCTTCCTGAGCCGAAAACAAAAAGGGACGTTCAGCGTCTTACTAGGATGATGGCTGCCGTATCCAGGTTCATCTCCAAAGCCTCGGATAAAGATTTTCCCTTCTTCAAGGCCCTCAAGCTCCCAAAATTGAAAGAGCTCATCTTGGAAGAAGAACAAAAGACAGCCTTTCAGCAACTCCGAGAGCACCTGGCTCATCTCCCAACGCTGGCAAGACCAGCCGAAGGAGAAACCCTATACTTGTATGTGGTGGTCAGTCCGGCCACTGTTAGTGCGGTGTTGTTAAGTCCAGCAACCGATCTACTTTATCAGCCACACTCTAACAGACCCCGAAACCCGCTACCCGTTGCTCGAAAAAGTTGCATATGCAGTGGTGGTAGCGGCTTGGAAATTAAGGCCCTATTTTGACTCACATCAAATAGTGGTCTTGACAGATCAACCGTTGGAAAAAGTCCTCGGCAAGGTGGAAAAGTCAGGCAGACTAACGAAGTAGGCCTTTGAGCTCACTGAGTTCAGCATAAGCTACCAGCCGAGGGCAGCTATCAAAGCCCAAGCCTTAGCAGATTTCCAAGCCGAATGTTCCAATCAGGAAATACTCGACGAAGGAGAAAAGACTTAGACTGTTTTCACGGATGGCTCAGCTACCGTGAATGGATTGAGGGCAGGGGTAGTTATTATCTCTCCCGAAGGAAAAATTTTCGAGTATGCACTCAAATGTTCGTTTAAGGCCTCCAACAACGAAGCCGAATATAAGGCCTAGAACTGTGCATAGCCCTAGAAGCCGAACATGTCTTTTTAAAGACAGACTCTCAGCTAGTCGCCAATCAGATCTGAGGCGAATATGAGGCTAAGGAGCCCTCCATGATCTCTTATCTCGCCAAGATCAAAACAGTCATAGCGAAGCTGAGAACCTTTGAAATTGAGTTGATCCCAAGGGGTCAAAATGCTCAAGCCGATGCGCTCTCCAAACTTGCAAGTTCATCTCTCACCGAGCTGAACCGATCTGTATATGTAGAGGTGCGCCGAAACAGAAGCATCGAACAAGAACCTGAGGTTTTATGTGTCAAGGCTGAACAAAGCTGGATGGACTCCATCCTCTCTTATAAGCTTCGGGGAGAGCTTCCCGAAGACCGAATCTTGGCCACAAAACTGAAAAGAATTGGCTCAAGATTCATTGTTTACAATGGGGAACTCCTGAAGAAATCCTTCTCAGCCCCATTGCTGAAATGTGTGGGTCCAACAGATGCGGACTACATCCTTCGAGAAATTCACTTCGGCATCTGTGGAAACCATATAGGGGGGAGGAACCTGGCCCACAAAGCGTTAAGGGCAGGGTATAATTGGCCAACTATGATTTTAGATGCCAAGGAACTGGTGAGAAAATGCGAAAAATGCCCAAAATTCGCACCAGTCATCCATTGGCCGTCGTGAGACCTTCAGCCAATCTTGAATCCTCTTCCTGTTGCCCAATGGGGATTGGACATACTGGGGCCATTTCCTGAAGCTCCTTATCAGAAAAAGTGGATGATAGTCGGCATTAACTATTTCAACAAATAGATTGAAGCCGAAGGAGCTTCAAACATAACTGAGCAAACTGTCAGGAAATTCATCTGGTAGAACATCATTACTCACTTCGGCATCCCAAAGGTATTTGTCTTCGATCATGGAAGGCAATTTGATAATCTACCGCTAAGGCGATATATACAGATCAGTTCGGCATTAAGTTGGCATATTCGGCAGTTTGCCATCCTCAAAGCGATGGCCAAGCCGAAGCCGTAAATAAGCAAATACTCAACGCCTTGAAGAAGAGAGTTGAAGATCAAAAGTCCAAGTGGATAGAGGAACTTCCCAGAACTCTATGGTCACTTCGGACAACTGAAAAAGAAGCAACGAGGCATTCACCTTTTGAGTTGGTGTATGGATCCGAGGCTGTTTTACTAGTAGAAATTGGTCCAGAAAGTCTTCGAGTCAACCAGTTCTCAGGCGAAGAAAATGGGCACCTCATGAAAGAATCCCTTGATTTCCTAGATGAAATCCGAGATTCAGCTAGAGACGGAATGGAAGCATACAAATAAAGAATTAGCAAATTCTATAACCGAAGGGTCTAAACAAGACTTATCAAAATTGGAGACCTTATTCTCCGGAATGCTGCTGCTGTCCAGAAGGGCCACATCCATGGAAAGCTTTCGACAAACTGGGAAGGGCCTTATGAGATATACGATGAGCTCCAACAAGGAACTTATCGACTTCGGCAATTAGATGGAACTGAGCTGAAAAACCACTGGAATGTTGATGTACTTAAGAGATACCATGTGTAAAACCCGTTGTGGGAAAACAATCTATGTAAGTACATTTTCTTCAATCAATGAAAGGCCTTTGAGCCACAGTTCATCTCAAATCTATTACGTTTTTTTCTGCCTTCATGGTTTTTCAAAAGTTCAAGATTTACACTCGGTGTTGTCTGGAGTATTGCATAGTGATGCACTGTACTTCAGCAAGCCGAAGAGTCTGCCGAAATGGGGGCAACGAATAGAACCTCAAAGTATTGCATAATGATGCACTGTACTTCGGACGGATTCGTTGCTCTCGGCAAAGAGGTCATAGACGCATCTAAGAGCACAACCGAAAATAGGAATTGAGTAGAACCCCGGGACATTGCATAAATGATGCATTGTGTTTCGGCAGATCAATTTCGGGTTGTGGTTACACCTCTGAAGTATTTCATGGTCATGCCTTGTGCTTTAGACGATCACTGCCCTGGAATTTTGTCTTAGATAGTTGTTCCCTCTGATGAATAAAAACCAGACAAGGGAAAAACATAAAACAAAGAATTTCCCTAAGGCAAAACCTTCGGACGAGCCGAAGGAATGGGGTCCGCATACTCAGAACTTTGAAGACATTATCTCCAAAATTCTGAGGGGGGCAAGAGGTATTCACCCAGTTAAACTCCCAGTCGAGGCCCACACTTGGAAAATCTTCAAGTAGAATCCGAGTAAAAAGGGCAAGGCAGAAATAATGGAGTAGAGATATTCAAAGGACTCGGATTCTACTTGATGGTCGCTCGCCAGGTGAGCTTTCAGATTTCTTATTTCTTTCAAGTTTTCCCTTTGCCCTTGTTTTGACTTTTGATTTTTTGTTTTCCTGATTTTTGCACAAAATTCTGCGAGTAAGCGCCTTCAGGTAATTTCTACTTTACTTTCTGTAGGTCGTTCATAACCATTTCCTTGCTGTGGAAATGAACGACGAGCTGAGACCCTGAATGTCGGGCTCAGATTGCCGAGCTAAAGTAGGTGAAAGCCGAAGAAGAAGCCTCAGCTGTGAAGTTGGAGATGCGGAACGTCAGCGACAACTTCCTCTCTTTTTGCCAAGGCCTGGAGCAGGCTGTTTTTTCCGTGGCTAGACGAAGGCCATGCTCTAATCCAGGAATACGAGGCTGAAAGTATTGCTGACTTCAAATCCCGTATTGAAGACAGGATGAAGAGAGAGGTTGAGACTCGGCATCTCCAGGCTTCAGATTATGAAGGTCAGATTGTTCGCATATAAAATGAAGCTAAGGACAAGAAATCTGAGCTTGAGGCTGAGATCAAGAGGCTGAAGGATGAGCTGCAGGTTGAGAAGGACAGATCTGCTCAAGTCAAGACAGAGCTCGTAGCTGCGCAAAAACTGTTGGAGACTCGGA